CACCCGTATACCACCCGTATACCACCCGTATACCACCCGTATACCACGTATACCACCCGTATACCACCCGTATACCACAAGTATACCATGCATATACCATAAGCTCAAAATATTATCATAGCAACAAAATACATAAGTGACCAAAATAAAAAGCGGCATTCCGCTGATAGGAATGTCTGCTCTGCTGACAGTCTTTCCTTTTGCATGGATCTTGCCAAATGCACTTCTAATTGCGATAACATCTTTGATGTTGATGTACCTATGAATACACCAACCAAATGTCAAAAGCAGAAAATGACTCCCTCAATCCACATTCTTGGAGAGGTGCTCTTGCGCTGCCTTGGCAAACTTCTCAAGTGCCGAATCGTCCATCTTGGTCAGGAACATCTCCACTTGCTTTGTGCTTTCGACCCGCTGCTTCAAGCTCTTGTGCAACTCTTTGATGGTAGAGTCGTCATACTGGTACTCCAAGATCTTGCCATTTGCAGTGGCCTGGGGACCCTCGATGATCAACTTCTGAGAACTCTTGAGAATCTGGGATGCTGCATCGTACTCCTGCTTCAAGTGTGCACTGCCATACTCACTCTTGGAAGCTTTCTTGCCATCCTTCACCAAAGGCTCCAAGAGCCGCACTGCTTTTCGACAAAGTCCCAAGACCTTGCTGTTTTCCTTTCGAGCCTCTGCTTTGGCCTCCTTTGAGACATGGTTAGTACACCTTTCACTGCCCATAGAAACCGTTCTCGAAGGCGGAGCAACATTCTTCGCCACCTGCTGATGCTCAGGCTCATTGGGCCTTGCTTGCTGCTTCCGCCCTCCATTCAAAGGCGATCGGGTAGTAGACCTTGAGGTCGACCTGGTAGTAGAAGATGTCGTCGAGGAAATCCCACGCTCAGAGGTCCGAGGCATGGACAAAGCTTGAACCGAGCCAGAAAACGTCGGGGCCAACACATTTCGAACAAGTTCACCAGCCTTCACACTGCTCTCTGCCAAAAAATGATCATGTCCAAGCGACGTCGACGAACGAGGACCATCAACCATCTTCAAACGACGATGGACCCAACGCTCAAACGAAGATTGCACTTCCAAAATGCCATCTAACCCAAATCGACGCCACTTCTGAGAGCCCAGACCTGGCCAAGAGCTCGGGAGGAGGTGAAGGGCATAGTGACCTGCCGTCAACTGGCTCAATGGGATCTCCTTCCCATCCAGGTGGTCGCACCGAAGGGCTTTCCGAGAAAAACTCATCACTGCACCAACCGCTTCTAGAAAATCACGGCCCAAAAGCAAACCCAGGGATGCCACCGGAACAACAGAGGTCCAAAAACAAATGATTGCACCACCAACCATGGTAGGAAGGCGCCATCGTTCTTTGCTGACTTGAGTGCCCCCATTACCAAAGCGAAAGGTCTCCTTCTCGGGCTCACACTTTACCAGGGCAATCACTTCCTCGGGGGGCAGTTGACCTCAACCTTTGGAGAAAGCTGTTCAACCAATCCATGCCAGTGCAGGTGCGGTTGCAGGCGCTATCCAATGCTCCCACCAATCTTTTGTCCAAAGCGAGGCCCAAAGCGTTCACCTCTTTGGGCTCATGGAAGTTCTGTACAGTCGAGACAAAAGCATCGGTGAGGACTTGCGGTTGATGGCGGAGCACAAGAACTTCATGTTCAGGATCAGCTTCATCTGTATGCTCCGTGTTGAGCGCCTCGGTGACTTTCACCTGTTTCTGAACCGCTTTCCCCTTCTTTCTGCCAAGCTGTTGTCCAGGCTTCTGACATTCTGGATCGCCTGCCCAGTGTCCTGCCAAGCCGCAGTCAAAGCAAGGATGCCTATCCGACTGCTTCTTCAAGTTGACCTTGTTGGCCACTGAGCTGGATGCTGGAGAAGGTGCTTTGCCATATCCGCGGTCTTTGCGGACTTCTTGCAACTTGGATCTGGCCTCCTTCATCGTCAAGAAGGCTTCGGCTGCTGCTTCAACGCTTTCTTCAATCTCTTGCAACGTGTCGGCATCGACACCCTGAGCAGCCGCTTCATCAAGTTCAGCTGCAAGAACTTCAGCTTCGGTGGTCAAGACTTCTTCCAAAGTCTGAGGCTCCATCTCATCATCCCCACCAGGCGGTTCATTCCCCTGTTCATCAACATGGATCTCCTCCTCGGCTTCAGACACCATGGCCTGTTTCTGCATGAAGGGCTTCCTATAGGGGGTATTCGACGGCAGTCGGCCCGATGAAGCAGTCGATGAATTCGACCTCATTGACCGAGCAGCTGAACTGGCCATCGAGGGGGCATACGACGAAGGCCTGCTGGCATTGGCCTGCTGGCTCAGGAACCTGTTCAGGAGAGGTGCACGTTGATCGCCATCACCTTGTCGACGATGAAGGGGATCTGCTGTGTGCAAATCTTTGAACAGCCTCAGGACTTCACGCTCGATCGTGCTGTAGTCCTCAGCGCCGGCCAGCGCGGTGTCCAGCAGTTGAGTTCGGAGAGGGTCAAGTCCAAGCTTCTGTTTGAACCACCAGCCAAGTTCACCATCGTGGATGGTCACACCCTCCGACTTCATCTCGGCGATGAGCCCTCTGAACCTCGTGGCGAATTCTGAGATCCGCTCACCTGACCTTCTCTTCAACTCCAGGTAGAAGACGTTCCGGAGCTCTCCTCGCTTATCGAGCGAGGTGCGACCTGTCATCTCCTCAAGTGCTCGAAGAAGGCGATTGATGCCGCTCAAGGGATCCTCTGGAGTTACGATCTCGTCGTCGCCGGTCTCGGCATTGGGCATCTTGACCTCCTTCTGGTATTCCAGCTCTGCTGGATCGAATTCTTCTCCTCTCTGTCGCACCACTCCGGTTTGCCGCAAGAGCCATCTTGCTGCCAGATTGTACTTCTTGGTGGATTGGATGTCAAGTCCGGCCAACCACCATGACATGTCTTTCCTGAAGCTCCTCCAGGTCTGGGGTGATCCGTCCCAAGTTGGGACTCTGCTCCAAGCTCCAGCATTCGAATCCTTCTCGTCAGCCATGCCTCGCAGCTTCGATGCGTCTCTTCGAGACTCGTGAAACAGCAAAAAGGTGTAAATTCCAGCTTCTCTCAACCGCTCGTGCTCCACGAAAAGGCGCTTGCCCAAGGGAGGCCACAACCAGCCAAAAGAAACAGCTTGTCCTCTCTGTCCTTGATCGAAACCGGGGAACCTGCCGGGATCACCAACCTCAACCGCCGGGACAAAGGGGGTGTCGTGCAAAAAGACCTAGCAAGCAGCGGAGTGCAAAAGGCCACCAAAGGTCCACGAAGAACCCAACCAAGGGCTCCGGTGTCACTGTCAACGCCCGTACGAATGGCGACGTCACGGGCGCTCGTGCTTTCACCTAGAGCGAAGCGTAGCGAGTTTGGCTGAGGCGCCTGCGGATGTTCTTAACCCTTGCTCATGTCCAAGTCAACCATGCATGTCACGATCATGATTTCTCAAGTGTAAAGGTGGATCCATCGTAAGTCGACCCAGAACGAACGTTCGAAGGCTTAAGTCTCGGTCTGTCTTGTTCAGTCGACAGGTGCGTACCATGGAACTCGATGGGCGCATCAGCTAGCAGGGCCCCGTTGGAAGCCCGACAAGCACGAAGAACGCAAAGCACTTACCACTGGAGCACTGGACGAAAAGGCTGCTTCTTCCATCCCTTCCATCCCTCCATACCCATACCATTCAGGTCAAAGATTGACCGAATTTCTTGGAGTCTGGACCTTCTGGACCTTCCACCATGCAAATCGAACTTCAGAGTTTCAAAACCCAGTTTCAACCACCTTGAACCCATCGACCACCAAACCTCGACCAACCCGACCCTTTCCCCCGCCGCGCCTATCGAACCTCCCGACGCGACCGACCGTTGAAGATGACCGTCCGAGCGGCGGCGGTCGACCGTCGCGGTTGGGGCACCACGGTCTGGAGCGCAATCTCCTGTGACACCGACGAAGAGCCAGAGGGAAGACATGGGAATTTCCAGGCCGGTTCAGAGATGTTTTGGATTTGATGGCACAAGACTTTGAAAGAGAATTACCACCCTTGAACGTTTCCAAAAGACAGAAACGCCCACTTTGGAGATGACACCAAAGGTATCTCGTGAAATGCAAAACACAAAGAAATCTCATGAATGCAAAAAAACATAGCTCATAATATGCCAAAAGATTGGAGGATCCTATTCTCAACAACTTGCGGCACCAAATCCACAACTTTCCCGCCCTCTCTCTGTAGCCCTGTAGCGCTCTTTGGATTCACCTGAACCACTTGAAGGGTTGCGTTGTGCCCACAGAAAATGGCCTGCCCAAAGAAACCCATGTTGGAACCGTCCCCAGGGATGGCAAACATTCTGGTGTGATCTGTGTCTGGCAGATCTGGTGTGTTATCTCGGACGTGTGGTATGGCCAAGTAGAGTGGTTTTCAGAGTATATGGCACACTCCCCAAAAGGTGTCTTGTTACAATTGCATGGACCCCCATCTAAAAGACATCTAGTCCGAAACCACTAGCACAGCTTATGTGAACCTGAACCCAAGGTGAAGAACCCTCTTTGGACGTGGAAGCAAACCACCTGCACCGTGGGAACCTCTCTGGAGGAGATAGAAATTCCAAGTACATTCAGATTCTTTATTAGGATCGTTCTCATTCTTCTGAAAAAAAAATACACAGTTTGTTTTCTTGTTCCTTCTCTTGCCTTTTGTGTAATATCATATATATATATATATTGCTCTGCAGTTCTTTCTTCCGACTCAGAAGCCTTCCTGGCGGACCAGAAACAGCACACTTCTCCCTACCTCACAGTCCTGGACTGGTGTGCGCTTCACGCTGCTGCCAGACCCCATCAAAAGGCGCAGCGGCGCAGCCGCTGTCCGCTGTCAGAGGCTAAGACCCCCAATGAGCCAACTGCAGCGGGGAGTTTGCTCTTCCGTTCCGTACGGAGTTTGTGTTGCACGAAAAACGAGGAATACTGCAATCATACTATATATCAATGAACCATGTATCTTTCAAAACTACCTGACACAGATGTGAGGTAATTATTGTGAGTTGCTATATATTGATATATAGTGTGGTTCTGGGGGAAGCCAATGATTCATCATCATCACCATCATCGCACCAGAATCACTGCAGAAACCATCCAAAACAAGACGTGGTGTTCTCTGCCTCCCAGTCTTGCCTGCAAAGCAAACATGCGACGATTCATATCGGACACCATCAACCTCCGCATTGCAGCCCTCCTCCCCATCTGCAGACACGTTAAATCATGACAGTATGACTCGTCTTCAAGTGTTGCTGTTCTTGCAAACTAGAAGTCTTCAAGAGTAACTTTGCTATTCCCCGCACCTAAAAAGGGGAGCGGCCCTTCGGTTCCAAAAGAATTGTCCTGGAAGTGATGGTGCAAACAAACATGAAGATCTGTTTGCCTCCGTGAAGACGCCTTCCGCGGTGGAGCATTTGTTTCAACATTTCACCTCTCGAAGAATCAACAGCGAGGAGATCCCTCCCCAAATCCACAGCTGTATAGCCGTTTAGCCATGCTGGATATATGACAGGTTCTCGATCATCTTCAACTGAGCCTTTAGGGTCTGACGTTTTTCTCTTTAATGTTGCCTTTGAGACAAACACCCTTGTGCCCCTTTTGAAAGAGAACGTCCGAGCTGTTGTCAGGACGGTTGAGTGATCTTGAGTGGAGGATGGCACATGGCCCAACTCTGAGCGGGGCGTTTGAAAGCTGTTTGGTATTTTGTTTTTTTGATCTTATTCAGGTTCTTGGAGGGAATCCGAGATAACATCGGCTGTTGAGGCTCATTTATCTCTGGACCCACATGAGCTAAAGCTATAAGGCCGACAAAGTTCACCATCCTTCTTCTGCTCGATGTTGCAACATCTTGCAACGTATGTGTTCGAGTTCCTTCGTGTTACAGTAGGGTAGTTTACACTGCATCCACTGCATTCCAATGTACAAGAAACAAGAAGGTCATGGAAGACTCGTCTTCACCGCCCTACCGTGCTTTAGCCAGCTTGCTGCTGTATTTGCTTCGCAAGCAGGCTGGACCAAAAGAAATGGCACCCCTTCCTCCTGTATACAAAGCAGCTTCTTTGACCACCTGTTTTTTTCCCCCAAAAAGGCAAACACTGCGCTCCTCCGGGGCCACGGCCGACCGGTTCATCGAGTCGGACGGACTGGGCTCGGTGCTCAAAGAGAAGCTGAGGTCGGTGATGGAGATCCATGCCAAGCCCCCCTGCGAGAGCGAGAAAGAGAGAGAGAGATAGAGACAGAGATGTTCTCAGAGGTGGTCAACCAAAATGGTTTTCGAACATGGAACCTTTCAGATGGCAGCAAAGGCCCAGGGCCAATGCTGTATGATTCCTACATCACAGCGTCCATAAACAAACTAAATATGACTGAATCCATCTTGAATGTCCTGGATGGATATCATACAATTTCATAGATGTCCTGTCCTCTGAAAACCTAGTTGAATCCAACCAGTGGAAGCCTCCCAAACAAGTAAACACATCATCTTCATCCCAAAAATTCCCCAAATATAGTATCTAAAAAACCAAAAACAACACGTCCCTTCCGCGGCTCCGAGTGGTTTCCGCGGATGAGTGGAACGAGTGTCCGGCCAGGGGAACGACGTTCATCTCCGGCAGAGCATCCAAACAGTCGCCCACCTGAGCGCACGGTCAGTGGCGAAGAGGTCAACCTGACCTCTTCGGATGGAGTGGACCCAAGATGTGTGTGGACTGTGTGGACTGGGGGGAATTTGGAGAAGGAGATGATAGGAGATGACAATTTTGAGTCTAGTCTTGGGTCTTTGGGATAGATTTGGGGATTGTCCCATGATCAACTTCACCTTTTTTCGACTTCAAAAGTTGCTCTTCACTTGCATCAATCTCTTTTGGAGCCTCTTCGGGGTCAAGAGTTTGCAGTGTTATTGACTATTTGTCCTCCTCTGTCCCGCTCTCAAGCATCCTTGCCGTTCTTTTTCCTTGAGCGACCAAGATGTGACCCTTTGCGGGCAAGGTTAACAGGTTGACCTGCGACCTTCCTTAGAGGTCGGAATCTGTTTCCCAGGTGACTGTTTATTGCACCCCGGATGAAGGGTGAAGGCACTTAATCGAAGGTCTTGTGGACTTTGAGTGAGTTCACCACCTCATCCACCTTCACCTTCGGTGCCCATGATCTATATGATGCGTTTTTTCGATTTCGATTTCGATTCGCGCTCGGTTCATGTCTGTGCAGCGCCTAGCGTGAATTCTTAATTAATGGTGGCGCCTCTGCAGAAGTCGGGTCCAAGGGAGCTATGTCCCGTCGGGAGGTGGAGTTTCAACTCCTCCAGCCAGTCCCGGGCCGCATCAACTTCTCTCAAAGGACGATCTGCTCTATTGTCCCACCATTTAATATACAGTAAAGCGAGAAAATCGTATCTTCACTGAGAACACTGCCCCAAACGAGAATAGTTTCTAAGTGCAGCAGCTCACCACTGCGGACAGACACAAAAATTGCCGTGGACACTAGTATCAGCCAGTTTGGGCTGCATATGTCTGCATCCGAAAAAACAATTGCACGATTCGGACCTATCGACGGGTGTGCCAAAACCTGGACCGGTCGAACCAAAATTGCTGCCTTCTTGGACAATACAAGTTGTCCCAACCCCACAAGGCAGAGGGGAGCAAGTTCTTGACAAATCAGCCGTGTTCTTGATATGCACACCATCCGGAAAGCCCCATATTTCCAGCAAGACTTGAGAGACACCCGACACTTGCCAGATTGCTGCAACAGCAGCAGCTACCGAGTTCAAATACCATTGAATTAAAAGACATTCGTCTCGGAAACCTCTTAGAGGACAGAGAAAGAAGCTTCTTGTAGAAAATGTACATGGCTTTGATCATCAGCAAAAAGCAGCATAATCCAAGACCAAAATGGCCAGCCACGAAGCAGGGTACCACAGTTAGGGCAGCAGCATTGGAAAACGCATCAAGAAGGAGGTCTTGATATTCCACAACCCAAATATAGGTAGCCAAAACTGACCAGCAAACTGAAGGAGAACTGAAGCAGCTCAATGTCGCCGTTTTAAGCCAGGCGCCAGATGCTCCATCTAATGACACCACTCCCGATAATGTCAAGTGTACTAGCACAAATCCCCTTGAGGTTCAGACCAACAAATGGGTCAACTCCCTGATTCCTAATCTCGAGGTGCCCTATAAAAGAGACCCCGAGAAAAAAGCTTCTGACAGACTCCAAGTGGCTATGTAGTGCTCAAGAAGAACACATCCATCCAGCCATAACTTGTCAGCTATGACTCCATCTGCGACAAACCGGCTGACCTGCTTGAATCCACGGACTGAGAAGCATCTCTTCGAGGACTTCTTTCTCGCTTGGATCCATGTTCGAGTGTTGACCTCATCCTCTCTACCTGAGCCAAACGTGCCGCTCTTTCTCGATCCTTCTGAGTAGTTGGCAAAGCTGCAGAGGGAGGCTTCACTTGCTGAGGAGAAAAAACTTTGGTTGCAGGCCCCACCAGGACTGCAGCTACTTCTCCCCGCTGCACCATGTAGGCATTGAACCGCTCCGTCAAATCTGACAGTGCCCTCTTGGATGCTATAGAAGCTCTGTCTTTAGCTCGATGTTTTCCATGCCCAGTGCCTCTGGGCTCATACCTAAATCTCCAGGCCCTAAACGCCCGGTTTCTTTGAGCATGGTCTCCAGCTCCTGAGTGGTCTCGATCTCCCTTCTCCAATTCTTTGACTTCCGCCTCGTACACTTCTTTTTGTGCCTTGCGGTGTGCGTCGAGCCGCTCTTGGAACTGCACCCATGCTTTCTTCTTGGCGGCAAGCCGCGATTTCAACTTCTCCAGTTTCTGTGTGACCTTGTTCCTGGAGTTCAAGGACTTCTGCTCTGCCTGAATCTCTCAGTCTCCAAAACCTTGGCAGCTTCTTCCGTCGACTGTAAACCATGCTCGACCAGGTAGGCTGCAACCGCCTCCTTGATCTGCTTCGAATCCACCGACGGCGTGGTAGCTGAAGAGGAAGACCGCTCCAGCGAGGAGTAAGTGGGAAATTCCCCATCCCCCTCTTTCTTGCTCTTGTTCTTGCCCTTGTTGACATCCTTCTTGTCGTCTCCTTTGCCTTTTCTTGGCCATGCTCCACTCCAGTAGCCCTTTTGGCCGGAACCCTTGTATGCATTCCATCCCATCGAAGGTGATGAGTGGTGCGAGGACAAGATCTGCCAGGCCTTGTTCAGCCTGTCCCTCTTGCCCTTCGAAGCCTTGTGGGTCGGCTTGTGTTTCTCTTGTCGCAACGGCTTGCGCGCTGTAGAGCGCTTTGCTCTCGCTCTTCTGTGCCACGAAGGACTCGCAGCACATCGTGTAGCCTTCACGGTCGCCAAGGATGGGCACCCCCACAAACAACCCAGCGATGGCCACCGCACAGCAGACACAACACGAAAAGGACGTGCCCGCACGCACTGGGGCAAAAACGCGATCGAGCGCTTGTGTTCGTTTGAGCCCTCGAACCCTGAGAAACTGCATCACTGTAAACACCCAGACCACCCAGAGGTACCGGAGTTGACAACTCCTCCATCACGTGTGATATGCCGGCGAAACCCAGTTTTTTGACAGAGTACCATTTTTTGGAAACCTTCAGCAAAGCTTCGGTGATGGCTCGTAGCCACATGTACCCTGAGCATCCTCTATTGATTCTAATCAATTAAACCAATGGTGTTTTATTGAAAATTTCAATAGCAAAATTTATTGATATTATCAATAGATTTGCGATAAGCTCTATTTTGGAATTTCTGTTGATTCTTGAATTGATTTTGCTATTGATTCCTTTATTGTTT